TATTTAAAATTAATATTATATTATTATATATTATTATACATGTTGTAATATTCTAAATAAAATAATTAATGTTTAATTATACAATTCTACTCATTTTTCAGAAAATGAACCAAACACACAAAAAACAGTTTTCCAGAATGCAACCAAACACTGGAAAGGAAAATGTTTTACAAAAAATGACTCATTTTTCATAAAACATTTTCCAGAGAAGGCATTTTCCTGCTTTCCAAACGGATCCTAAACTTCCTCCAAAAGCAGTTGGTCCTCCAAGTAGTGACGCTATTCCCTTGCATTCAGTTCCTCCCCAAGTAACACACTAGCACCTTCTCAAGGGGGGCTTACTTTAACTCCTGAACTTATTGCAACTCTTAGTTCTTTTTTACCGGCTAAGTCATCTAATTCTGAGAACACAACAATAGCTTCTACACCTGCGCCTGTGTTAAATACAACTGCTGCACAAGATAAAGGACATCCACAGGGTTGGAGATATGAACAACAAACTCCTGAGCAAGCTGGTCATTTAGCATCCCAGTTGGGTATCCACTTTAACACTAAGCACAACCTATACCCCCAGCCCAGACTCATGCTCCAGTCTTCAATGTGCCCAACCATTCTGCTCAGGGGGTTGTTGGGTTCAACCAAATTCATGAGCAGCATCCTTTTGACCTGCAAAGACAGGCTGCTGCATCATCTAAAGTACTCACCTCGACCACCATCCCTCCACAAAGTGGACAGATTGGGGTTCCACCACATGTTGAGCAGCACAATCCAGCTGGAATGTCTCAGGGTTTGCTTAGAGGTCCTGGGCTTCTTACATCAGATGCCTCCGTAATGTATGGTTCCACAGTACTGCAACTCTCACCGCTCGAAGCAAAGGTTGGTTCAGACTTATTCTCTTGACCTGATCTTTTCTCTGGAAGTCTTTTGTTTCTTCTGTTGATTGAATGACTGAGTTTTCTTTGGCATATGCTGCTTGTGGATTGAACATTAAATAGGATGAACTGCTGGGCTTGCAGATAATCCGATAACTGAGACAAGGTGACGGGGTTACCTGAAACTGCCAAGGTCCATTGCCCAGTATTCTGGCCGGAGTCCCCTGAAGACGTACAGATTCTGTTCATCAAGGGACATCAGCTGGCCAGCTTGTGCGAGGTCCTCGACGAGGAGTTGGGTGCGTCCAAGGTACTCTGCTGTGGACATGTCGCCTTGGTGGAGTGCCAGAAATTGGCCGAGGATGTTAAGACACCGGACCCTCGTGGACGATCGGAGGGCTGTCTCGATGGAGCACCATACTTCTCTCGCGGTGGAGCGGCCGACCGCAAGATACATGAACTTCTCGGAGAGAGAGGAGATCAATAGGGATAAGATCGATTGATCTTGTTGAACCCAAACGGTGAAGGACGGATTCACCGTGGTGGAGGTCGCTTCATCGGAGTTGTTATCGCCGGCGACTGGAGCGGAGACGATCAACGCCGGTGGACACGATGTGGTTCCGTCGACGAATCCAAGAAGCCCTTGACCCCGTAGGAAGGGGACGAGCTGCGTACGCCAAAATAGGTAGTTGCGTGTCGTTAGTTTGATCGACACGAAGTGATGAGCGAAGGTGAGGTGGTTCGGCACGGTGGTCGCCGGCGCCGGAGTAGCCGTGCTCATTGTTCGTTCAGAGGAGTTTGTGGGCATCCGATTATGAGGAAAGAAACAAGGATCCTAACTCTAATCTGATATCAAATGAACGTAATTTGTGTTTGATTGATAATCAATTAGGAAGGTTACAACTTACAACAATAGAGATAAATAGATAACCTAACTAATAGGCTATTGACTAAGCAATTATAACAATCTACCTAATATAACTAATGTTATTCCTAATACAAATAATGTAACAAAAATATATCTTAACATATTCTGTTACTAAAGTTTATACTAATGGAATTTAGGTTATTTAAGGGAAAAAAATAATATAATAGAGGACAAATAAGGAAAATCATTAAAAAAATACTAAAATCAAAATAATATGAATCATTCATTTTAAGAAATAATAGTACTGACACTTTTTGTCTCAGCGCTTAACGTTATTCACTCTAATTAGAATTGTAGATGTAGATGTAGATTTTCTATTTTTGAGGCTGTTTATATATAATTTTAGTTCTTGTAATAAAGGAAGTGTGAATGGTTTACTATTTATTTGTTTGGTTTATTTGCCTTACATATATACATACATACATATATATATATATATATATATATATATATATATATATAGGGAAGGGTTCAGGTACGGGTATAGCTTCCTGTGCGATTGTGCGGTTAAATCTGAGCAGTTGATCAAATTTAGATCAACGGCTCAAATCAATGAAAATTTAAAAAAAAAAAATGCGTGTCTGGAACAAAGAAGTATAAGTTAAGGCGCACCTTAAATGTTAGATCTTAAGCACAAACTCACGTACATTAAGTACAAAACTCACACACATTAAGCACAACCTCACGCACATTAAGCACAAAATCCACGCACTTTAAATATTAACTCACAGACTTTAAGTTTCAACAACTACTGACATTAAGTATAAAACTCACGCACATTAAGTACAAAACCCATGCACATTAAACACAACATCACGCACATTAAGCACAAAACCCACGCACTTTAAGTATTAACTCACAGACTTTAAATTTTAACAACTACTCACGATAAGCACAACCCCACGAACATTAAGTACAAAACGCACGCACATTAAGCACAAAACTCACGCACATTAATCACAGATTCGCTCAAAAATTACAAAATTGCCACCGCATTTTTTAAAAAAACTTGACACAAGTGTCAAATAAGTCCATCTACTATTTCGAAGTGTTCAATTTCCCCCATCAACTAAAACATAATCTAATTGGACACACTTACCTCTAAAAATTTGTCGATTAGCTTTTTTTGCAGGTTACCTCCGGTGGAGTCTGACTTGGCCCGGTCACTGATTATGTGGCAATGATGACATGGCAATTAAATAACAAAATTAGCCATGTCACTGATTATGTGGCATGTATGTTTTACATGGACAGTATATAGCAACTAACATATACGTACACAGGCCAAAAATTACACATACGTACACAATGGTAATCAAATGGGTTTCTTTGTTTTGTTTCTGCCGAAAGAAGGAATGAATTGAAGAGGACAAGCAAAAATTGGTTTCAACCTATTTAAGCACATTACGTATAGGAATCGATACCATCATCCATGTAATTCGAAATCCTAATTTTTAATTCATTAATTCAGAGAAACCGACGAGCCCTTTTCGAATTGACCGGCAATCCGATTAATGAGTCCATAGCATATACTAATTTGCATAATTGGTGCTTAATATTTTCCCAGTACAACGCCAGACATTCAGATTGGATTTTTTGATATTCAGGCTATCCACCCAGGTGATGGTTTCTTATCGGAAAGTGATGATTTTGCTCAACTATGTGAAAATGAAGGTTTGATCTTTATTGGACCTGGCCTCCTGCATCTGCAATCCGTGATATGGGCGACAAAAGTATGTATCCGAAATTATGAAGTTTGTAATGTCGCTGGATTGAAGAACGAAGAACGGAAATGAAGAACTGAAGAATCGCAATTATTTCGCATGTTTGACCAGGGTTCTCGTTAGAGATTAGGAAGTAAATACCACATCATCACTATTTTTATTTAAATAAAATTACATGTCAGTGGAGTGGCAACCTGGAGGTAACCTACAAAAAAAGCTAATCGACAAATTTTTAGAGGTAAGTGTGTCTAATTAAATTATGTTTTAGTTGATGGGAAAAATTGAGCACTTCGAAGTAGTAGATGGGCCTATTTGACACTTGTGCCAAAAAACTTTGATAATCCTGAATGTTGATTTAAGCGAGATGAAAGGCCCAAATTAAACTCCACAACCGCACCTGGACACCCTAACCGCACTAGAACATATATATATATATATATATATATATATATATATATATATATATATATGTGTGTGTGTGTGTGTGTGTGTGTGTGTGTGTGTGTGTTTTCTTTCTTGATTGTTGCATTCTTGGAGTTTATTTGCCTACTTTTTGAATCATTTGTGTTATCTGCATAAATCATTCAAAAAATAGGCAAATGTATTGACATCTTCATGTCATGAATTCCTGTGAACCGTTTTATGATATTTATTTTCCATTTTAAGGCTGTTATATATATAGTGGAGGGTTTCAAAAATCATATTTTATGTGACATTGTGACATCAGATTTTGTACATTCATTTAATATTTTTTAATGGTTATAATTGACAAATAATTATAATTTAAAACATCTCTTAAAAAGGATAATCGTGAATGAGTAAAATAATTATACCAGAGATCTCTTGTCTTTGGTGACAATTTCAAATTTAGTTCTAGACTATCGTTTTCGCCATTTAACATTTCAGACTATTATTTTTTGAACATTTTTAGTCATTCTTATGACTTTTTCTATATTTAGTAATAGCATTTTTGTCTTTTTATGCTTTTTTTTTTGTTATTTATCCGATTTTAAGTGGTTTAGTAACTTTTGATTTTTAGTAATCATATTTTCAACCGACTTTTAGTGAAGTCCTAAATCAATTATGACGGTTGAAATTAAAAAAATAACAAAAGAAAAATATGAAAAGACAAAAATACAACATACAAGTTTAATGGTCATGATTGACAAACAATTATAGTTTGGAAAAGGGTGGAATGGAAGTTTTGGAACAAGGAAGTGAAAAACATGCGTATTCCAAAATCCAAATACACTAGAAACTGGACTTAATTCTCTACTGCATGCTGCTAAGATGCATGGATATCAACCAAAACCAGAAGCTTTGAAGCAACAAAAGATGTCTATTCTGTGATGTAATCTTAAGTCCTGTGCTAAACAACCCATTCAACAGCAATATGCAGAAAATATGTATATACACTAGTCACTAACAAAAATGCACTTGAAAGCACCATTGGTGTGCAAAAAGAAGATAAACCTGTCAGGAATTAGATTTTCTTGGCGTGTACTCCATTTCTTCCATTTTCATGTTACAAGCTTTCAACAAAATCCCTGATGTAATAGTGACTGTATCCTTTGAGTTGCCTAGGAAGTTCAAAATACTCGACGCTTTTGGTAATAAGATCATATGAGAATACTTTTGACACAATAGGCTCATCACAATCGTCAACAATCCAATCATAACTATTGAAGGCAAGCTTATTGGCTTTCCAGAATCGCACTGGCCTTGTGAACGTGGAAAAGGGTGGAATGGAATACTTTTTTGTCCAAGATTCCTCAATCCCATATTCCGTCATAACCCATATCTCATAACCAGCAGGAGCATAGTCATTATATTCAGGATGCACAATCACAGAAAGGGATCCCTCAAGAACCACAAGATCTCTGGAAATAATGAAATCTCCATCCGGGAAGCAGTGAGAGACTGGCACAGCTATGGAGTTGAATACATCATTCATCAAATCAAATGAAATAATAGTATCTCTGTTATAATTTTTAAACCAATGCATAACCCCATTTAAGGTTAGGGTAACAGAAGATTCCATAAGCCTCCACTCAAATGGTGGGATAGTGGTCTCTTTACATCTCCAGTAATCCAAACTGAACGTATAAACCCAAACCAATTTCGGATTCGGACCCTCCTCAGCCCCATGGCCCCGACCAATTGGCACTTTCAAAAGCATGTGCTCATTGATTTCATGAATATATCCAAGTTTCATACAGGTTGAAGACAGATCATTAGAATCAGGGACTGCAATGGACCTACAGTTCCTAGTTGAAGGATTCCACAGACAGACATTGGACCCAGAATCCGAAGCAAGGCATACCAAGGCGTTGCTGGAACAAACAAATCTCGGTTTGGACATTGGCAAAGGTATTTCTGAGAGCTCAGAAACACTGCATTTAGCATCAAGACGCAGAACGGAGAGATTGAAAAGAAAGCAATCCATAGGAAATCTATAGCGGCAATCCAAAACCAGGGCAGATAAATCAGCACGATGCAGATTGCTGCGGGAGTATGTTTTAGTGAAAGTATGACCTTTGAGGAAAGCGTGCCATGACTTGCTAACCGACAGGAACCGGAGCAGCACCTTCACTGGAAGACGCACCAGTATCTCCTCCATTATATCACCAGGCAAACTGCAGTCTGGCAAGGCAGTGCTGGAATTGTTGTTTCCCCCCTGGTCGCCCATGGAGTTGACCCGAGCCCTTACATTCCTAATGGCCTGTATGAAACATAGAGTTACATCAATTCAGAAACCATAAATTTCACGCATAAAACAAACACTACAGGCATGTATGTGATTCTGACTACTTTCAGAGTTGCAGAAATTCTTAAATGGTACATAATAACAAACACACACACATACTAATCATCATCATCATACAATAAAAAAAGAATTTTAAACAGATTTCTCACCATCTTAGTAGCAGAATCGCAAGTCTCTGTGTTCTAAGGAGCTCAATAAAGCTTCGAGAAGCGGCGGAACAGCTCTGTGTCTTCGCGGCTAAGGAAGAGAGGGATTTGGTTCGGTGATATCTGAAGGGTTCCGTTGTTCAATGTCCGTAAAATAGTTTCGGGAATTTCAAAATTTTAACTTTTTTCGCCGATTTTCCCCCCTTTAATCGCTTTCTATTTTTGGGTAAATCGCCGCGGTCTTTTCACGACCATTGATCTTAAATAAGAACTGAATCATGACCATTGACTTATCACCAATGTCCGAATACTAGTAAAATACGGAGTAATAATAGATTAAAGATAGTTGTGACCTTCTTCGTTTGGGAATGAACTTTCTATATTATACTAAATTTGTTCATAGAGATTTCATTAAAAAAAAATAGTAAAGAGTTTAAAGATTAAATCTCAGAGCTGTTCAAAACACTTGAATGCAAACATTTTTAAAAAAAAAAAGGAAGAATCAAACGAATCAACTAGATGATGATGATGATGAGCAGAGAGCAGCAAGCAGCAGCTATGGCGCAGGAGGGGCCAATAGAAATTTGGCAGGTGGAAGCTCAGCAACGCCGCCTTTCTGAGGGTTGGAATATTTCCGATAGATCACTTGGAGCTTCTGGCCGGCTGCAGCCTCGAAATGGCAGGTAACCAGAAGCTTAGCGCAATCCATGAGCTGCGCCTCGGAGTAGCCGGTGTGGAGCTTGAGCGTTTCGTTCCAGGCGGGGGTCTTGTGGAGGGTGCATCTCGCAACGTAGACTGCGGAGGCGGCAATCATGGAGGGGCAATACATCACCATTGTAGGGTAGTTCATCATCCCCAGCTCTGCAAGGAAGTACACCATGTTCTCCATTGCTGGATCGGCGGCGGCAGGGATGGCGGCGGCTTTGATGAAGCGGATGAGGAACACGTATAGGGTGGGCACTGTGAGGTACCATTCCAGTTCACCGAGGATTCGTTTCTCCATCTCCAGGACCTGTTGATGGGTGTAAGCCCTGTCTGAGATGCACACGAAATCGTTGACCTCCGGTGCCCAGATTTCCTCGTATTTTGATGCTATGAGCATAGCACTAATGCCTACTAACTGCAACTCCCTCTTTGATGTAGTCCTCGCTGCCAGATATCGATCGATGATGTTGATTGTGAGGTAGAGTGTCTCAGATGTGAGCTCGAATTTGTGGTGAACTTCAATCAACCAGTCAACCAGGATTGCTCTCATTTTTACATTGATCTCTGGCTGGGAATCCATGTAATCACGAACCCGGCTTTCGTTCTGTATATTCAGTGCAAAACACACAATTTTCATCAGAAAATTAAGGGACACAAGAAGAAGTTAAGAAGAAGAAGAAACAGGAAATCACCTCAGCTTCCTTGTAGAACTTGTAAATGTCTTCTACATACTCCACAACAGCCAACTCATTGTACAAATCTCCAGCATCAATATCTTGAATCTTCTTCTTCTCCTTTTTAATGTTCAGTCCACAAGCAGCCTATGCCAAAGAAAACTCAAGTCATTCCCATCAACAGAAACAAAAGACTTTCAGAGAAAAGATCAGATCAAGAGAATAAGTCTGAACCAACCTTGCTTCGAGCGGTGAGAGTTGCAGTATAAGTCTTTCTAGATGAATCCTCAGCTGCTGCCTTTCTGCGGCTCTTCTTTTCCTTCACCTCTACTTCTTCTTCAGTGTCAGGGCTGATTACAATCACAGCTTCAGGCTTGGGCTTGACAGTAACCTTCTTCTGAGCAGGCTGCTTTCTAGGCACTTTAGCTGCCTGATTTGCAGCAACCCCACCCACATTCACAGCAATAGGTTTCTGCAGCAAATCAAGTTCTTTAGAATAGATATACAGCAAAACACAATAATGGGTCCTAAGCATTCAAAACACTATTAAGAAGTGAAATTATAGCCAACCTTGTTCTTATCAGCTGCTGCAGCTTGTGCATTAGCCAGTAGTTGGGCACAAAAACCCCTTGTGAGGGGGCGAGACACCTGAGGAAGCTGCTGTTGCTTGCCTTCAGCCCCTCGAACGGTAACCATATTGCCAATATCCCCAAGTGCCCGCCGGTTCCTTCCCTCTGCTGCCATGTTCTTTTGCTTTATTCCCCCAGGGACTCCCTCAACTGCAGTAGAAAACACCCAGAAAAGAAGACACTTTATATTTCTGATCTATAAACACAAATGTCTCTTTTAAATTTTCATCTTAATTAGTCCATCAAATGAATTGAAAGAAAAAATTGACTTTTTAACACTAATATTCATCAACATCAAATCAGAAACACTTTTGTAATTCATGAAAAGAAAAATAAAAAGAAATGCATTCCATTACAAGCAACAAACACCCAAATATCTGACATTTTAACATAGAATATTTCTGATCTACAAGGACACTATCTTAATTCCTCCAAATCAAATAAAGTTACAGACAAATTGACTTCATTCATCAAACCAGAAAAATTAAATGGGTAACAAACACCCAAAAAAAGAAAGACTTTTTAACACAGAATGTTTCTGATCTATAAGGACAAGAGTCTCTTATAAATTTTATCTTTATTACTCCAAATCAAATAAATTCCCATAAAATTTAGACTTTTAACCATTTAGTTTTCATACATCAAATCAGAAACACATTAGTAATTTATGAAAATGAAAGATTGAAAGAAACCCAATCAAGAGACCTGTATGAAATAAATCAAACAGTTCATGAGCAGTCAAGAACACAAATCCAAATCCCTGGCTTAGATGAAACGATTCTTAAAATGGGAACAGCAAGAAAATCAAGACTCAGAAATAACCCATATCAACCCACCAATCGAGGGAGATTAAAGAAACATAGTAGAATAAAACCTTCCAAATCAGATATATGAAATATATGATTACCTCCTCTATTTTGCTGTTGAACAACGGGTCTTGAAGCCATTCTTTCAGACTGCCTGTAAAAATTCAAATCTTCTTCTTTCTGGGTAGATCTCGCAGTCCTTGTTCTTCCTCCTTTTCTAACTCTCTCTGAGATCTTTCTCTATATCTGGAAACAAAGGAACAAGCCCGATTGAAGAGTTGAGATGGCGCCCCCTTTAAAGCTGTGGAATAGGCGCTTCAACGGTCTAATGATTTTGAAATCACAGCCATCTAAGGTAACCCTCCAACGGTCATATTCTCTGAAATCGTAGCCGTTGGTTGAGGGAAGATCTGACGATCATAAATTGACCTTAAAATTTACAGCTACGCTATCTGGAATTCTTGATTACTCGTGCAAGGTTCGATGTTAGTGCAAGACCAGTCAGCAGCCTATCTTGTATCAGTACATGTTTAGATTATTATTAAAATTAAAATAATTATACTAAATTAACATTATTTGGAGTTTTAATTTTTAACTATATTTGTTCTAAGCATTGATGTTTTTTCCTTTTAAAAACTCTTGGACATGAAGAAAATAGATACAACACTAAATACAATACAAGTAAAATTTTCTATCTTATAATTTTCGATTCAAAAAAATAATAATAACAATTAGGACCTGTTTATTTTAAATTTTTATTTTCTATTTTTTGTTTTCTAATTTCTAAAATTTAACTTTTTGGGATTATTAATTTTATGAAAATAACACAAGTTTAAAATTTTAAGTAATTTTCTTTACTGGATATTTAAAATATTTTCATATATATATATTGAGCAAAATATATAATTTTTTTTAAAAGTATAGTACACGTGAAATTTTAATATCTAACGCCCATACTAAATTTATATCCAGATATAACATACTAAAAATATTCAAACCAATAACTTATCGCGTTCATTCAAAATTATAAAAATTAGACACCACCAAGCTAGGTATGTTGTAATGAATCAAGTGATGATGTCCAAAATGGAGCATATTGTCCATTTTATAAGACGTGGACCCCTTTATCTTGCTATAAGCAGCAGTTATACCATGGACCCCGGTCCACCTTGCAAGGTAGACCCAGGTCTAATATACACAATTTACCTATCGAATGTTCACAAATTGAATTGTGAACATTTAGATCCACGTCTACAAAATAATTTGCATGTTGTAATGTGTGTGGGTCTCATTCACCCTTCAATCCATCCACCCACGTGTCCAAACCTCTATGCACATGCCCACACCTCCATTACCTACCTCACATGTTACTTCCTACCCCACCCCCCACCCCCACATCACCCATTTACACCCTAGCATAGGGGCGACGCAGGTGTGATGGGAGGGGGGAGCGGGGGCACTCGGGTTCATTGCGGGCGTGTAGTGGCCCTAGTGAGTCCGGAAGACCACCCTTGTCAACTGATTAGGGCCAGTCATGACACCCATGGGTCTACCTACCCCATCCAACCCCAACATTCCTCTCCCCCCTCCTTATGGACTTACCATCCTTCTAAGCCCAGTATGGTCATAACATCCTCGGTCAAAGCGTCTATGAGGTCCTTGTACTGTAGTGTTTTGTTCAATTTAGTCATTCTACCTTAATTTTGTTCAATTTAATCCCTATACTTTTAAAAGTGAAACAATTAAGGACAATAGCTGATGTGGCGCTAACATTATATCTGTCACGTCATCATACTTACAAGCCAACTCATATATTATTTTATAAATATTTAAAATTATTATTTTTATCACCAATATATTACATTAATAGGTCCAAAATAAATACATAAATATAAGTTATTGTCCTTAATTGTTTCACTTTTAAAAGTACAGAGACTAAATTGAACAAAATTTAAGTAAAAGGACTAAATTGAATAAAACACTATAATATAGGGATCTCATAAGTACTTTGACCTAATATCCTCTTGTGCTTACATACTCTCCTCCTTCCAAGCCCAACATCACCCATTTTCCTAGTGGGCTCCTACACCTTTCCTTCCAATCTAAATAGTCTTAGGGCTTAGGCCCCATGACTCCATCATATGTGTGTGTTTTGTTGTTTATAAACTTTTAATTAATATTTACATTTTATTTTATAATATATGTATACTGCATTTTACTTATATATTTCAATAGTAATATAATTTATATTTTTAATCATAATATTACTAATTTATTGTATATAAACCTATACAATTTTCTAAATATATAGTTTATAACATTGTATATAAACGGTATATGCTTTAATACATAGTTCATATAATTTTTACAAAGTTTATTTTAATTATATAACTATATTAATATTTATATTATAAATCGTATTAATTAATGTAGGTTAACATAATATGATTTTATATATATATATATATATATATATATATATATATATATATAATATAAACATATAATATTTATAAACAAAAAAAAAAAATTGCAATGATCTATATAGGAATTATTCTCAATTTTGGTTTACGAGTTTTAGATCATTCTTAATTGCAGTTTGTAACTATAAATTTTGTTATAAGTATAAGCGTAAGACTTATTTAACTTTTATTAATTTGGTCCTTTTGTTCCAATCAATATCCAGATCTCACCCAAAAGAAGCTCACACATGGCATGTTATTCTTTTGAATATAAATTTGTGAACCCACTTATCTACTAGGTAGAGGTAGAAAGTATAGAACAGATACTACCTTATAATAGAGTTAATAATGTTCAAAAAAATAGAAAGACTACCATAAAAAGACCAAATTAGCCATTGATGAGCTCGATCAACTATTCGTCCAGAAACTCAATATTGATTTTACAACTATTATTATTATTAAGAAGATACCCATAAAAAAATCAATAAATCATTGAAATGCCAATTTATTAGAAAATGTTGTTGGGCCTTCGAGTAAAAGAACTATGATAACGTTGGATGGTGAAATTGGGCAAATTACGGTCCACACAGTTGTGTGCACCACAGTCGAAAATAACGTCGTGAATATTATGAGTAAAAATAATGTACATTATGATTTAGAATAATGTATATTATGTTTTAGAATAATGTACATTACGTCTTAGAATAATATACATTACGTGTTAGAAGAATGAAACATTTGGGACAATATAATATACATTATGTTTTAAAATAATGTACATTATGCTTTAGAATAATGTACACTATATTTTAGAATAATGTACATTATAAGTTATAAAAATATATATTGCAGTTGGGCATGCGAAAAAATAAAATTAAACAAAATGACCTCGTTGGTGAAATTGAGTTGGAAATTAATTGAGCTTGTTGTCTCCTTTTTTGGATTATGATGTCATTGCTGACACAGTTAAGTTCTTCTTTCCCATGAAAATTTTAGAAGAGGTTAATTTTTCATCTATGTAGTTCTAGAGCTTTAGCTTTGCGCAACAATCCAATTTATTATCAAGAACAGATAGCTAAAACCATGTATTATTTAAAGGGAGACAGGTGTATGGACAAATGTATCCTTAAAAGTATAGCATGTGATAGATATATGAGTTTTTTCGATGAAATTTTGACATTGATTTAGTTGGAAGAATCTACATTGATAAAATTTAATAGTCTTACACTTAAATTAAAAAAAAAAAAATTATAATCAATGACTACAACGGAGAATGAACTAAAACTTGTGGAATTAAATTTGAAATTAATTTTTGTATATACAATAAAAATAACAAGTATTGGTAGCATGATTGGATTTGATTAAGATGTCTTATTTATAAAGTTAAAGGTATCAAATTTCGAGGGAGGTCATGCTAAGATTGGTATAGAATTAGGAGACTTGAGTGAAAGTAAGAGGAAGTATTGCAACGCGAAGGGACCTCTTGTCATTAGTACAAGAAGATGATATAAAACTAAAGTTGAGTAAGGTTCCGTTTAAAAATACGGAAAATGTTTTATGTAAAATAATTTTTTTTAAAAATATCTTATTTTTTAGTGTTTGGTTGGAAGTGATAAAATGATTTTTTTTTTTTTTTTTAATTTGGTTGCATGTCAAAAATTTGTATTTTTTTGTTTGGTTAATTTTTTATAAACATGAAGTGTGTGTGATCGCGTACAAATGAGAACGTGCGTCTAGGAGAAAATTCAGAACGCATGACATTTAATTACGTGTTTATATCTAACAGATGAAAAACACTGATTTTAAAAAAAAAACACAGTGACATTTTCGTAAATAATTAAACATCGAAGTGCAAGTAAAATGTATTACTGGTACAAGTAAAATTTACACTGAGCATCAATACTAAATGCACCTAACATTATAACTAGTTGCATCTAACATTATAATTAGTTGCACCTAGGTACAAGAATGTTTGCACTTGTAAGTGATTTTACTTGCAAAGATGCACCAGCTACTTGCACTTATAACACATTTATTGCACCAAAGTTTGAGTTATTTACGAAAATGTCACCGCGTCGTTTTTTTTAAATTACATCTGATTCGTTGATCTGGGCATGTGGACAGCTGTAAATGGTTCTTATTTCTCTCATGGGCGCTTGTTCTCATTAGAGTATGGTGTGTGTGTGTGTGTGTGTGTATTAATTTTAAAATATATAGGATGAACTACCAATTGAGATCGATCTTAGGGTTTAAATCTCTTTATTCATGCTCAAATTGGGATCTTAAGTTGAAAATGATGAAAATACCAATCGTTATACCCTGCACCACGGCGCACATTGCACTGTGCACCGCGCGCCTCCCAAAACGAAGTCGTTTTGGGAGGCGTTGTAGAGAGTTGACATGATTATGTGTATTTGTTTATACAATTATGTGTATTTTTTTATACAATTATGTGAAACGACGTCGTTTTGCATCAAGGCACACAATGCAATGCACGCCCTGGTGCACGATATAAATTGCCTGAAAATACCCTTAAAATTTTTAGATTTCGGCATGTCTTAAACGGAGGGATTACCAGCGTGATGAATTTTGGTATTAAAACAATAGGCGTGGATGAAAATTGGTACTAAAATAATAGTCATGGATGAAAATTGGTAGGAATTAAACATGTTGACCAAAACTATCATTTCGCTAATACTCGTGGGACTAAAATTGGTATTTGCTCAATTTTTATATTTAACGATGTTATTTAAGAGTAGAAACAATTAAGTTTGAAGAAACTAAGGACTTTGTGGTCTACTGGTACCAAGTTGCTCCCCTGTGTGTGAGGTGATGGGTTTGAGCTTAGGTGGAGATGATTATGGCGATATATTTGATATCTAATGTAGTAGCTAAAATCAACATTTTGGTCCTTCAATTGTTTCCCAATTGTCAAGTAGTCTCTAGTTTCCAATTTAATCATCGAATTGTTTAAAAATTCGTCAATTAAACTGTTTTAGGGACCAAATTGACAAAATTTTAAAATGTAAAAATTACCATTTTGGTCCCTAAAAGGGTTTAATTGACAAAATTTTAAACAGTTCGAGAATGAAATTAGTTGAAATTGAAAATTAGGCACTACATTAACAGGTGGAAAACAATTGAGCAACCAAAATGTTGATTAACTCTAAATTTAATTACACTTACACAATTCTTTATTCTCGTTAAAACTTACCATTATTAACTTTTATATATATATATATATATATATATATATATATATATATATATATATTTGGTAACATAGTTAGCTTATCAGACAATTAGCTTATTTGACCACTATTAGTTGTTTGACCTAGTTAAATAACCAATATAAGTGTTTAATTAATTAATTTTTTGTAATAGTTTATCGCTCTAAAACGCTAAAATTCGAAAAGCTACTCAAAGCTATTTTTTTTGATAATTTCATTTTGCATGTAATCAGCTATCATCTAACAGTTAATTTACCAAACATTTTCTACCATCAGTTAATACTATCAACTAGTCAAACTCATTAACTCAATCAGCTAACATTTATTACAAACACCCATAGGCATGTACTATTGTACTAATATTAAGTGAAAAAATTATGTGAGTAATAAACACTATATACCAAACTCCATTCCAGTTTTTATTTGTTCAGAAATATGTCCCTCACCACACCAATAATTGCCATCTTACCAACCTCGAATCAACCGTTGGATTGGGCAACTCAAGGAGCATCAACGGTGTAGAAAACGTAGGAGGGAAACAACTACAGCCTTTAGATCTCTCCTCTTCCTCGTATAAAATTGGTCAGTAAGGTTCTCAGTCTCTCTCACACTTCTAAAACTGTAACACTCCACTTCCCATTTCTCTCTCTCAAACCCCCGATTGATCATCAGATTGCTTCCTATTTTCTGAAGGTAATTTTCCCACCTTGCATTGGAGTTTATGTTCGTACGTGCCTATAATCCGTGTTTGAACTTACTGTTTGTTGGGCTAATTTTTAATCAAGTTTTGAACAATTCAATGTCTATTCTGAGTTTACTTTTGATTGTGGGTTTGAATTTTACATGATTCTATATGGAGGATGTATAAAGTTATGATCTTTTTACTTCTTGAAGATTGTAATTAATCGGAGACAAAATGTACTAGTATTTTCTATAGACTCTACATGATTCTCATCAGGTTCTGTAAAGTTTATTCTGTTTGGTGATCGTTGATTTGTCTGTTTTATAGTGCAATGTTGTCCATACATTCGTTATTTTCTAGATTAGTTTGGTAGTGTAGTGATGAGATTGGATTGTGAATGTCAGAGGAATCATGAGAGAAATCCTTCACGTTCAAGGTGGACAGTGTGGAAATCAGATTGGATCCAAGTTCTGGGAAGTTGTCTGTGATGAGCACGGCATAGATCCGACTGGGCGATATGTTGGAACCTCTGATTTGCAATTGGAGCGTGTGAATGTGTATTACAATGAGGCATCCTGTGGACGATTTGTTCCTCGTGCTGTGCTCATGGATCTTGAGCCCGGCACGATGGACAGCGTTAGGACGGGTCCTTATGGCCAGATCTTTAGGCCTGATAACTTTGTGTTTGGTCAGTCTGGTGCTGGAAACAACTGGGCCAAAGGGCACTATACCGAAGGTGCAGAGCTTATTGACTCGGTTCTTGATGTTGTGAGGAAGGAAGCTGAGAACTCTGACTGCCTTCAAGGTAATTTATGCATGTCCTTTATCTTTAACCTCATGATTTGTCTTTAGCTCTAATATAATGGCTTTCTTTTGTTCACAATATACAGGTTTCCAGGTTTGCCACTCCCTCGGTGGTGGAACAGGTTCGGGTATGGGTACCCTGCTGATCTCGAAGATCAGAGAGGAATACCCTGATAGAATGATGCTCACGTTCTCTGTGTTCCCATCACCAAAGGTGTCGGATACCGTGGTTGAGCCATATAATGCCACACTTTCTGTGCATCAGCTCGTGGAGAATGCAGATGAGTGCATGGTGCTAGACAATGAAGCACTGTATGATATATGTTTCAGGACGCTGAAACTAACCACTCCCAGCTGTGAGTATATATTTTGCGAAACTTTGAGTATCTATCAATAGGTTGCCTTAAGATGTTTGTCAAACTTTTAGGACCCTTGTGTTTGGTGTTAACTTTTGTATCTCTCAGTTGGTGATTTGAACCACTTGATTTCTGCAACGATGAGTGGGGTGACATGCTGCCTCCGGTTCCCTGGCCAGCTTAACTCTGATCTTAGAAAGCTTGCTGTGAACCTGATCCCCTTCCCGCGTTTACACTTCTTCATGGTGGGGTTTGCTCCGCTCACCTCACGTGGATCTCAGCAATACCGAGCCCTTACAGTCCCTGAGCTAACTCAACAAATGTGGGATTCCAAGAACATGATGTGCGCTGCTGATCCACGGCATGGGCGCTATCTCACAGCTTCAGCCATGTTCAGGGGCAAAATGAGCACCAAGGAAGTGGATGAACAGATGATCAACGTGCAAAACAAGAATTCGTCCTACTTTGTGGAGTGGATTCCAAACAACGTGAAGTCAAGCGTGTGCGATATCCCACCTAGGGGGCTGTCAATGTCATCCACCTTCGTCGGGAACTCCACACCCATTCAGGAGATGTTCAGGAGAGTGAGCGAGCAGTTCACTGCCATGTTCAGGCGAAAGGCTTTCTTGCATTGGTACACCGGAGAAGGAATGGACGAGATGGAGTTCACAGAAGCTGAGAGCAACATGAACGACCTGGTTTCCGAGTACCAGCAGTACCAGGATGCCACTGCTGATGATGAAGGCGAGTACGAGGAAGAAGAAGAGGGGGTATTGGAGCATGATGACTAGAAGGACAAGTTATGCCATTTCATATAGCTATTTGGTGTGTCTTGAATCTTGATCTGAGCCTGAAGACTCTGTTCGTTTGTGTATGTTACAGTTGTTTGGTTCGGGGTGTGAGTAAGAAGTTGTTCATGTAATTCACTTTGAGATTGAGATTGCAATAAATTAGGTGTCCATTGCCAACCCGGCAATGTGCCTTGTTATAATTTCCATCTCCTACTCCAAGTACCAACTTTTCTTATTTGTTGAGATTTGAGAACACAAAAGGCCCATACCCCAACATCATGTCAAATTAATCTAAAAGTGATGTGTTGATCAAAGAAAGATAGAAAAAAGCTAACTCAAGCACATGCATCTTTCATTTTCTTGCAAACAACAGCTAAAGAACGTAGGAATAAGGCTACAAAAGCTTGATGGACAGGAAAGTTAAAGAGAAAAAAATTAAGAGCAGGAGGGGACAGCAAATGTTAATCGACAGTACAAACACTTGTGTTCTTTAAAAAGGTAGAGTAGCATGAAATGCTCAAATTGATACCTAATCCTTTAAATAAACACCACAACATGTGGAGGGTAAGCAGCAAAACAATGTCGTTCGTTCTACCCTCTGCCACCCCTGCCTCTAAAACCACCACGCCCACCCCGTGGTGGTCCTCTGCCACGTGGAGCACCTCTTCCACGGAAACCACCTCCACCAAAACCGCGTCCCCCTCTCCCGCCGCCTCTACCACCTCCACGGAAACCACCTCTACCAGCTTGTGCTTGTCCCCTGCAAAAAGATATTGCAGATTCAAATCAGTCTAGAGCAATGTAGAAACTGGAACACAACAAATGACAAAGTTGATAATGGAGAATGTATTTAGAGTAGCCAAGGTCATGATTCTCGAATTACTTAAATTTAATAAACTACTCTGAACACAAAATGACATTTCAAAGAAATAAGAGTAATCAATTGAAGCTTCGTTTGGAGGAATGAATTCTTAAAATAACGATACATTAATCAATTCTATAATGCATAGGTACCTCAAGGACATTCATGTCTAAGTTCTAGAGTATCTATATATCCAATCTATTGTGAAAATAATACAATTATCAAGTAGAAAGTAAAAGGTTCATGATTCACACAATTATACAAATAAACAATGATCTCCACAGATAGTTCCACATACATTAGATGAAAGAAAATTTTAAATGCATAGTATATTAATATTGACATTGCTGAAAGAGCTGTGAATACAAGACATAACAATTGCCTAGGAGTAATTAGTGCACAAAAGACATTTATTCCCTGTATCAAATTATGAGTGTTGGCTTGATGGCAAAGACATAACAAATCTGACAAGAACAATAACTATATAAAACAGCAACCTCAGCTGGAAAGAATAGAAACAGGGAAAGAAAACAAACTTGGGTTGTGGAAGGAATCTGGAGAGAGGTAAAAGCTTAGCGGGGTCTATGAAGAACTTATCGCCAGCAGCATAAGATGTTGCGACAATCCCTTCCGACATTTTAATCGAGAAGAACTACAGAAACAAGAAAAATCCCATAAAGTTATATAATTAACCTACGAATGAAGAAAAAACCCAAACAAAAGAGGAGCTTTACTCACCGACTCATTAATGGGGCCGAAAATTTCGTCAACTTTACCAATCTGAGTTTTGTTTTGCAGGTAAATGGGAGCATTGAAATACGGAATCTTCTCGTTCGTGAGTTTCGTCACTGCATCTCCTTCGCAAGCGTGCACAAATGTAGAAATCTCTGCATAAAAAAAAGATAAAAATAAAAATAAACCAGCGTTAATTCATACATTCGAGCACAGATATACGCGCGTGTGCTTCTGTAGGAGCAATGGGGGGAAGAAGAGCGAACCAACGACTTCAGCAGGAGGGCCTTCGTCACGTGGAGGACCGCGACCGCCAAAGCCTCGGCCTCCTCCTCTGCCGCCCCTAAATCCGCCGCCGCCGTCCCTGCCGCCTCTAAATCCGCCGCCACGCCCTCTCGGTGGTCTCATGCTTCAGCAATCGCAGCAAGCGTGGAAGTGGCACTCAGTGTATGTGTCTAGGGATGCTCCGTTCTCCAATTCCAGTTAAAAGGGTTTAGGGTTTATGCTATTGCAGAAACATTCTGGGCTTCTTGGGCCACATTGTTATGATATATAAGACTTATTGGGCCTGATACTTCTTATATATAATTCTTGTTGGGTTCATCTATTATTTCTTTTTGGCACCAGGACGCACAATGCATTGTGTATCCTGATCCAAAACGACTTCGTTTATATAAGTTAGTGGAGAGTTGATGTTACGGCGTGATGGATACCGTTTCGTCTGTCCAATCCCGTTACAGTTTTATTTTTTTTTTTTTTTGTGTTTATGTGTATTATGTTATGAGTTTATGTAGATTATGTATTATGTTAGGAGTTTATACCCAAAAAAACAAAAAAAAGAATGATAAGAATTAGGGCTTTGTGTGTACATTTAGGGTGTGTTTAGTTCGCATATGGAAATTGGAATCGGAATGAAAATCAAATACTTGGTGATGATAATCGGTTTTGGTGAAAGTATTTTGCATGTTTGAATTGGAATGATTACCAATATTACTGTTTGGTTATGTATGATCCTATAATGGGAATAAAGGTTTTAAAAATGCATGAACAAAAAATCAAGACAATTTATTCTAATATAAAGACAACCAAAACACCAATATGAACCAAAAAACAAAAAGAGACAAAAATCTAAAAGCATTAATCCAAACTTAAAATTCAAATTACCAATTACCAATATATATATATATATATATATATATATATATATATATATATATATATATATATATATATATATATATATATACAATCATTATGCTATGGACCCGTGTCCAGCATGCATGCTGGACACGGTAACAGTGCCGTTAGGCACCGTTCTCTTACACTTTAAAAAAAAAAAAAAATCAAACCACTTTGTTATAGGAGTATATGTTCATAATTTAATCACTATATGTTCATAATTGTAAGTTCATAATGTCAGAGCTCTGTGTTCATAATTTCATAACTTACATTCATAATTCCATAACTGCACATTCATAATTGCATAACTGTACATTCATAATTCCATAACTGTACATTCATAATGCCACAAACGAATAACGCCGTTAACGGCGAGACAAAATCCAAAAAAAAAATTGTAACTGAAAAACTGCATTTTCCCTTAAAACGATATCGTTTTGGATTCGTGTCCACAATGAGTCCATAACATAATTTGCCATATATATATATATGCCAACTAAATAGGCCTAAACTAACTTGGTCTCTTTACTAAATAGGCTAGGTATGCCCAAACTTGATCAAGTCGTAAGGCCCTTGATAGGGGCCTTGCGTATTTCGACCCTTATTTACTTGTTTACCTGCTTATTTGTAGCCCAAAAGTGATCTCTTAGAATCAATGTCTTTAAGCCTTCTATTCATATTACTAGTTTTTTACGCGCATTGCACAATTAGGATAATGGCCAATGTTTTTTTTTTTTTTTTTTTTAAATAAGAACTTTAAAGTATATCAAGTCAAGATTATATTGAAATTGTTCATGCATAGATAATTGAATGTTGAATTTACATATTTAAATAGATAATTCCAAGTTTACAAATGCAAAATAATATAGTCAAGATTGATTATAATTGTCAATAAAACAATTGTATAGGTATGGTTGAAACCAAATACGAGACATAACGGAGATCAAATAGGATAGGTAGGCCCAAACTTATCAAGTCGTAAGCCCCTTGATAGGGCCCTTGCATATTTCGACCCTTATTTACTTGTTTACCTGTTTATTTGTAGCCTAAAAATGATCTCTTAGAACTAATGTCTTTAAGCTTTTTATTAATATTATTATTTCAATACTATTAAGATCAACATTGATGGCAATGTATGCCCACAAAATGATGTGGCTGGCTGTGCAGGCATCGCAAGGGACAACTCCGAAAATTGGATCGGAGGTTTCACCAGCAATATCGGATCATGCTCGCCGTTGATGGCTGAAGCATGGGCTGCCCTAAGAGGAATCCAGCTTGCTAAATCCCTTAACCTCCAACACGTCATTTTTGAGAGCGATTCCAAGACCATAGTCGAAGGCATCACCTCAGACCCAATGGTGAACTCCTCGGTACATAACCTTTTGGCAGCATGCAGACGGAAATTACAAAGTATTAGAGATTGGAGGATTGCTTGGATAGCTCGGGACAAAATGGCGCAACAGATGCCCTAGCTAGGATTGCAACTGCCCGTCCTCGCGGTGTTTACCTTCTTTCTCACCCACTAGCTGAGATCATTTCGTTCTTAGAATTTGATTGTGGCTCTTTTCCTCTTTGGCACTTTTCTGTTTCATGAACTGAACTTTGTATCTTTGCTATTTTCATTAATATACGGGTATCACCCTCCTTTCTTTTAAAAAAATACTATTCGTCGTTCATTACTATATCTTTCGAGCTACCCAATTTTATGATCCACCTGATTTAATAAAATCATCACATATAAAAGTGGTTAGTCTTTAGTATGCATATTTAGTAAAACTCTCACAATATATTTATTGTAGGACCAAAATGGACAAAAAAAAAAAAAAAAAAAGTGGCCCACCTTTCATTTTAATCAATAAAAAAATATCACCTTAGGAAAAAAAAATTATTTTAAGGAGACCATATAATAAGGTAAATTATGGTCCACACAATTGGATAAACCATGAATATCAGGTACATTTTAAATATATTAAAAGTACATTATTTTGTACTAAAGGTACATTATTTTGTACTGAAAGTACATTATATAAAATAATGTACTCTTAGTATATTAAAAATATACTTTCAAAAAATGTACCTTACATACATGAATAATGTACCTTAGTATATTGAAAATGTATTTTTTATTTATTGTACACACAATTGTGTGGATCATAGTCCATGCAATAATGATTGATATAGTAATGTCTAGTGGGTTTTGCAGTGACGGGCTACCCACATGGTTCAACATTAATATAGGTTGTGTCATGCCAATCCACATTAAAACATGACTTGTACCAATAGTTATGTTGTGCAACAATGTGCACCATGCATGGTGCACACGGTTGTAAAACGACGTCGTTTTGACTAAAAATGCGCGTCCCATTTTTTTTAAAAAAAATCAGTTTCGATTCTCATCAACAACATTATGTTGTTCATTCGTTGTGAATTTTT